TGACCGCACGAGGTTTCGCTGACCTATTTGTTGAGCACGTCGTATCGCGGTTCGGCCTACCGGATAGTATCATAGCGGATCGAGACCCCCGGTGGACTTCAGACTTCTGGACCGCGGTGGCAGCCACCATCAAGACCAAAATGTCGCTCTCATCCTCTCACCATCCGCAACACGATGGCCAGACGGAAAACGTCAACCGTCAATTGGAGACCATGCTGCGCGCGTATGTCGCGACCGATCACTCAGACTGGGCTGAATGGCTCAAGTTATTGGAGTTTTCGTATAACTCGAATGTTCACCTGTCAACCGGGACTTCCCCTTTCCTCTTGCTGTATGGGTTCGAGCTGAAGGCACCACTGGACTACCTGCTGCCTAAAGCTCAAGGGTCAGACCCTAAGTATGGCATGAAAGACGAAGCGAGCTCTTATCTTGAAGAATTGAAAGTCAAACGCGAAAACGCGCGCTTGGCCATAGCTCGCGCCCAAAACGAGCAAGCTAAGTATTTCAATAGAGGAAGACGCGACGTCCCAGAGTTTAAGGTGGGATCCCGCGTTCTCATAAACCCCCACTCGTTGGAATGGCGCGAATCCAAAGGAGAGGGAGCGAAGCTGATGCAGCGCTGGATTGGTCCTTTCGAAGTCCTACAACGGATTAATCCCAAAACGTACCGAGTTCACCTGGACGACAGATATCCGGGATTCCCAGTCTTCAACTTGACCACCTCAAGCCGTATAAAGAAAGCCCACCGGAGCTTGGAGGCCGAACGTTGATGCCGGACACGCGAGAGCACAAGATCGAATCCAAGGAATATGAAGTGGAGAAAATCATTGGAAAAAAATATGATAAAAGAAGAAAACAAAACTTATGGCTCGTGAGATGGAGAAACTACGGACCACAGTTCGATACCTGGCAAACCAAGAGGGACTTGCGGAACGCGCCTGAGATGCTACGCGCGTTTGACAAGGCAGAGAAGAAGCGGTAGCCGGACCGAGCATGTACTAGTACCCCGATATCACCACGGAGCTCCTGATACCCCCACGGAACCTGATAGCGCCAGTGCATGATGGAAACGTGTACCATAGATAAGGATCTCGCTCTCTCCCTCCTCTTTCTCTCTCCCTCGCTCATCTTTCCACTGACTTCCCTCTCATCTGCGACTACTACTTTTCATCTCTCCATCTCCCTTAGATTATTCGAGCTCGCGTCGCTCGCCCTCCTGACTATTTGGTCGGTGGCGACACTGAGTGGAAACGTACAATTCACGGCTATCCGGCTTTGTACGCTCCGTATACCAATAAAATGGGAGATTTCTTTAATGACCACCTCGGAAACGCTATCGCCCCTGTGTGGACTATTCGGAAGGATGTATATTTCTGCTCTTTCCTTGCACCACCGGGAGACATACCCTTGAGAGCTATGGACTATCTCACCCCCGCTCCACTAGTTATGGCAGATTCAGCCCCCCGGCGACTTCTCAACGACTTGGATATCCTCAAACAAGCCACCTGGTATACCCCTGCGGAACACTGGCTCGCTTACGTGCCGACGGGCCCTGGTCCGACCATCTTGGATGATCCTATAGCCGTCTGCTGGGAGCTGCACGATGTCGCCACCCAAGATGAGTACGCCGACGTTTACCCGTCCGAGTCAGAGGGCCGCCCGGTTAGCACTTACGCAGGATGTCTTCTGCACTCGAATTGGGCCACGCCGACGTTTGACCTTTTGAGACACCTGCACGACGTAGTGGTCACGCTAGCTTCGTCAGTCGATTGGTACAGAACTCCAGGCGGACAACTGGGAGACATACCCGCGCTCTCCGAGAAGCATAGGGCGAATCGCCTGTACACAAGGGAGCAGGACGCACAAGACACGGCGGATCGGGTTCGTCGATCGATACTAAGCCACGTAGGTTTTGTAGCGTGGTTCCAAGGAGCTTAAAAAGGTCGAGGATGTTGGTTTATCGCAGGACTCTTTGCAACTAATCAACGACCTTCGCCTGGACGAGCGGCCGAAACGCGGAGCCGTGTTCTACCCCAGTCGTGACTTCCACGAGGCCAACTTCAGGTGGATGCTGGATCGCAAAGTTCCTTTTCACTACGTATGGACCGACAAGGAAAAGGCGGACCGCCGCTTCATTTACCTGAGCCCGGAATTTTGGAACGAATACTCAGTCTTAAGGGAAACCTTGGACGCGACCGCCGAGCCCGACCTATGGGAATTGCCCTCTGCCGCTGCGTGGGCCGACGATTTAACCCACACGGACATCTTCTTCCAGAACGGATACGCTGGAAAAAGGGGAGAGATCCTCAAGGTTTTTAAACCGGACTGGGAGTACCGTATCATCGACTTCCAGTTATGGGGAGGTAGGATTGTAGTTGACCCCAACGTGATTCGGCCTTCGGCAGAACGATTCAAGGGAGTCTCCGCTTATTCTGTGGCCGGGACCGTCTGCACTCTATTTAGGCAAAACCCCAAGGGCGTAGACGAACCACCTTTCAATCGAGTAAATCCGGAGGTACACGAGTTCGAGTTGGGGGATTTTGCGCACGAACCCATCGCTAATCCTGACGTCGAAATGATGAGTCGATTCGAGTCCACCCTGGCAGCGCGAGAGATGCACAAGAATCTTTATGCTCCGCGCCCGCCTTTTAAAACTTACAACTCGTACAATGGTTCGCGGGACGACTATCCTTTGACGGCCGCACCTCCGGGACCTCGAGCGACAGGCAAACGTCGTGCGCGGGAGACTAGACGACAAAATTCATCCTCCGCTGGATCAGAAAGTTACGGCGAAGTAGCAACAAGTACCCGAGGCCCGAACCGTCTTGGCTCCCATGTCATAGCGGACCTGCCGGCTCCAATGTCCCCGACGTGTCGTTCTTCTAGATCGGACGACGCAGGGATTACCACGCGTTCACCGATGCTCGCAAGTGCGTGGGCGCAGAAGATGGCTACGGGCATTCGCCGACGCTCTTCCCGGTCGCTGAGCCCAGCGCCTCGGGGAAGTGGGACCCAGAGACGTCATTCGCAATCTATTCAGTCCGCTCACTCTAAAAACAGCCGCGCCAGCTTTGAAGACGAGTTCGCCAGCACCTCTACGAGAGAAGTCGTACCTTGTTAGTACCCGAAAGGGAGGTCGTGACGCTCGAACATGAAGAGACGCAAAGTTCCGTACCAAGTGGGCATCACACCTGGGACGCAGGATTTCAAACGCGTGCTGAAGCTATCGCCGCACTCACCGCCTGGCTCCCTTCCGTGCTCGAGACGCAACCCGCTCAGGATCCTTATGGCACTCTTCCGTGGAATTCACAGTGGCTCGACCAAGCCGTTCTCGTGTTTGACGAACCCCGTACCATGGACCGCATGAAGGGAATAGTGGCTCGAGAGGATCGCGTCATGAGCAAGACGGAGCTCTTAGAGCTCGTATTGCGATATGGTATGCCTTTCAAACTATTCGTGGAAATCGCCGAAGCTTGTGACGACGAGGACGACCAATCACCGGACTCCTTAACTATGAGATCGCTGTACGCTCCTGGTTACGTGGATCCTCCTATGGTCTGGGTTGGCACTGCTGGACAAAAGCTGGTTTACTTGGGCGGAATTCACGGACTCCTGGCTCGTCCGAATGCAGTGGCCTTCTTGTTCATGGGAAGCTTGGCGAAGTTCGTAGCAGAGACCTTCTGCCCGAACCTCGTCTACTGCTTGGCACAAGGTCCGACCGTACAAACGACAAGGTATAACGCAGGCGAGTCACGTGTTCTGCCCCTCACCGGACGTAAAGGATTCTGGGTAGCGGAGATGGTATCGGGACACGAGCTTGCCTTGCTCATAGGGGCAATTCCTGGCGGGCATTCAGGGGCGGAAAAATCGCTATGGCCCCATCCTGGGCTCCTTGAAAAAGCAAGCCCTCATTGGCGTGGATACCTCTCCGCCGGAGCCATGGCCGCGTTACGGAACCTGCGAGACGACATGCTTGTTCGCGACAAGTGGACTTGGCGTTCTGAATCCGAGTGGAAAGGTTACCTCCGCAAAGGGGGCTACGGAGTTCACGCTCCTTCCTCTATCCCGACTGCGAAGGACTTTCAGGCGGGACGTGAGATCATGGCCCGTTCTTTCCCGCTGGACTGGGACCAGGCGCCGCTAATTAACGTCCAAATTCCCGAGAAATTCGACCCGCATTACCTTGGGTTCTGATGGACCAATGGGTTTTTAGGAAACGAAGGTGTGCTAACCTGAATCGAGACTGGGGGGCTCTGTAAGGACTTTCTAATGACACTAACGACTGTTATCTTTTTTCTTTCTTTTTCTTACTCGAATAGTCCCGATTCAAGTTGTCTTTGTACTTGTTAGTATTATGGGTTATCAGTAGCTAGCAGATACATGTGCAATCAATCTACTTTTACACCAACTACACTATCGCTCGAATAGCCTTCCCAATTCTCGTCAAGTAACTCCGAGTCTTTGATAGAGGCCCGTGCGCTCTAGGAATATTACGACTAAGGTACGATCCCTCGCGATATTACGACTTACGGTTGTTCGACAGTGTCGCTTCTTATCTCACCTCATCTGACTATTCAGTGAGGGCGAGCCTCGATTGTCCAGAGAGCACGGCTATCCGGCCTCTAATTGAGTTCTCTTAGAGTTGGACCGTTAAATACTTCAAGGGTCATTACCACAATATCAGGGATTGCGAACCAATTGGATATCCCGTACGACGTCCCCTCAGTAAGATTTCGACAATCCTTACACACGCCTTCCGTTAAGCTCAACGGAAAGCTGTCCCCACAACCTTTACATTTGCCCGATTCCGTCACTCCATGCCTCCTGTAGTGATTCGCGAGTTGTCTGTGATCTTATCCGTGTGGCATTCCCAGCCAATTGTATGTTTGTTGGTGCTGCGAGGTGTGCGCGTTCCTTAATACCCCGGCTCCCGTGAAACCCTCGTCCTCGTCGAAGTCAGCCCTTGAGGTTTTTGTGTATTGCTGGCTATTCGAGGTGTAGACCTAGTGGCGTAACTGGTAACGCACACATTTACTGTAAGGTGACAGACTGACAGTGACCTATAATCTACAAATGCGAGACCCTTGTTCAATTCGAGGTCAGGCCATGTTTGTGATTTTGCTTCCTTTTTCCGCGCGTGTTCCGTAGTGCGTGTTTGCCTTTTCCGTCCATGCAGGGAGCGTCCGCCAGGCCATTATTCAACCGTGGGAAAAGCTCCGTGACGGCCGTAGCTCATGCCGTGTAGTCTGAGGCTATTGTGATTTCCTCTGTGAGTTGTTTCGTTGCTGATTTCCGCCGCGCTTGAGCGTATCACAAAGTGATAGCTCACAGCGCGAAAGGATGTTGGAACAGACACTTCTTCTTCTTTTCGTGGCCACCGGTAGCTTTTTCCCTCCAGAAGGAGGTTTTTGACGCACCCGGGCGAGCATTGTATGTATTCTACCTACCTTTTCTCTCTCTGGTTGCTTTGTCATACTTAAACGCCAATACCAAACAGACACATACTAGTCCTTACTCTCGACTCCTATCTCGCTTTGCGTACCTTTCTTGCTACATCGAAATACACGCCCACAAAAGGGTCTTCAAATTATCCTCATCTGATTCTTGGTCTTCTTCCTTTCTCTTGTGGATCGTGGTGAGCGCGATTCCACATTGCCTCATTTGGATCTACTTCCAACAACTTGTTACTCAATGATTCCAGCATTTACGACAACTCGTACGAGTACCAGACGGGCCAGGATGGCAACCAGGCATGCCAGGCACACTCGGGCTTCACGGGAGAGACCTGACCACACACACGGTTTTGACTTGCTGACTCGCGCCAAATCTGAGCCCCCATAAAACCTTACAAACGACTCTTGGGTGACCCCCGACGGCAGGATAGCCACGTCTGCGACCGAGCGACCGTCCACCCACGTCCTATCCACCACCTCCCGACAACTCAGAACGTCGCGAGTCCTTTACAAATACTCGGAAACGGCGGTATCTCGGAGTTTCGACACCCAAACGGATGTTCTGAGTGCTCGTAAAGCTCAGCGTCCACGAATATCCTCTGTCAAATCCGCCGTAAACCCGGTCTTGGATACATAAGCGCAAGAGCTCGCGGAATACGCTATCCCAATACAAAAGTTGATGTTTGCGGGGCTTCAGTTTCGCTCTGGAGTTATTGGGAACAAGTTTGAATGGTGGTTCACCAGTTGATAGGCAACACTGAAGCTCACTTCATGTTTTCACTGACTGGCCAACGGTGCTTTGCCAAATGTGTGCCCCGGGAGTTGAATTTTCCACTGGTGTTCTATTTTCCCTGCCGAGGTAGTACGAAACACACGACCTTGAATCAACTACTTATCACATAGCACCCGGAAACGGGGCTCTTAAAACATCAGGTAATTCAACGCAGATCTAGAGGCTGAGAAACTCCTTCGGGTTCAACGTTCGACAACGGAGATTTTTCGACTCTTTCGGCGTTGAAATTTGCTGCAGTTGTAGCTGAAGTTGAAGACGATGTAGAAATTGTACGTAGCATCGGGTATTCACGGGCTTGCTGGAGTATGTGCATACGTGTGCTGGAGGTTTAAGGTTGTTCCGAATCGCGACGGTCCGTGGGACGGGAAGCTCGGGTCCTTTATTTTGGTGTTCGACTCGGAAGTAAGTTATGAATCGCCATCATCATTGCTCGTATTGGAGGGAAGGGCGAGCGCGGATGGGTTCGGTGGTATTCAAGTACGTATTGAGGAGCGCTTTTCGTAAGCGGGGCTGCTTGTAGCTCCAATCTGGGGGAGATTTTGGTCATTAAGAGCCGAGGTTCGCGGGAAATGTTGCGCCGAAGTGATCTCGAGCATTCTTCATTCTTGGACCAACAGATTTGAAAGACATTTTCTGGCGGAGCACCTACCGTGAGAGGCTGTTGAATCAAAAGTTTGTTCTGTTCTCAAGTTAAGGCCAACTAGCGGACTTTAAAAGTTAAGACCCGAGCCCCAACCGCGTGCAACGATCAAGACTGAACAGATTACAGGATATTAGCGCCACCGTGCTTAGAAGTTAGACCTGAGCTAGCTTCGATGGGAATATTTTGGGCCTGGGCGACTCAACGGAATTGTTCAACAGTATACCCTATCGGGAGGCTGTGAGTCTAGGCCCCGGCTGCGGAAACAAGGAAGAAAGAGAACAAGAATCGAGGTGGAGGCGAGGGTCTCGCTCCGCCATAGAGTAAATCACGCGAACAAACCGGACCGAATGTCAGTCAGTGCCCGAATCAAACGCCGGATCTGCCTTCTCGAACACGAGGATATATAACTGAGGGCGCGAGTCCCAGCGCCACGGGTCTTATAGCGCAATGACGATTTGTTATGTTCAACCTCAACACAGTTCGATGTTCGCCGATCTGTGAGCTCACACGGCACATCTGGCCTCTCGGCTTGCTCAGGTACGCATTGAAGTACGCTACACACCTAAATGTACCCAATCTCAAGTGGCTAAATTTTTTAGGGTGAGTTGAAGGGTCAGAAAAGATGCCGAAAGTGGCCATCTATTTGAGGGGGGATGTGCAAGACCCCTATGATTTTTGAATAACCACAATTCTTCTCTCAGGCGGGCTCTCTACCAAAAGTTGGTAGAATGCGTGCACAACGCGACCGTACACAGGCTGGGGACGGAATACATACTCCGAGTCGCGCAAGCGTACCTGATTATTACCTGATTGCCGGAATATTATACAGTCCTATACAATCTGTCCGCGTCAGGGCTAGAGCTAGTTAGTATACTAGTATTAGAGAGTCCTGAATTTGTCGGCGAAGAGTCGACATGAAAAGTTGCAATCGGGTTCAATGAGGGCCTACCTGTACCTTCCTACCCAACTATAATTAGTTACGTATCAACTCCGGGCCCTCGACGAATAAATAGGAACACCGGCGCCACCGACTCGTTTGAATCCACACAGCAGGGGCGGGGAGATTCGGATTCAGAGTACCGTGGAGTGCGGATTTAGCACTTGAGCTTGTATTAATACTCCAGACGGACCGGTACGGGTATTAATATGGATTTGCGCGTGGGTTCGGAACCCGAAAGTACAGAACAGCCGCTTTACGTACCAAAATGTCGCGCGGGGTACGGTCATGTGACCGCGTTCCGGATTCACAAAGCGCGGCCTTTGTTTTCATTTGGTGTTCGTTTCGCGGACTAACTAGCTTGTTTGTTTATTTCGCACCAATCGCAGCGGCGAATTTAAGCCAGGCCTTCGCCGGCCATTCACGGTGTCGTGTGTACTTTAGTACTCTACTTGATCGTGCGGGTTCTTCTGAGGTTCTCCTTACCTCAAGTCCCAGGCTGCTGCCAGCAAATTGCGCGAGAGCACATGCGACACTCACGACGAGTCCCGCGGCATTCTCAGAGTCCCAGGACGTGCGGTTCCGAGTCGGGCTCTCCAGACTCCAGAATTGGCAGCTTCAAGTTGGGATGCCGTTCGAGTACTAACTAGTACTAACTGTCTGCCAGTATACCAAGCCCAAGTCCAAGTCCAAGTCCAAGTTGGCGGACTGACTGAGTGCGCCAACAAGCGAACACCAAAAGCACCGCTGTGATTTTTTTTTTCTCGCCGGTCCAGGAGACTTGAAGAACAATCTTAGACCCCGCTCTTCGTCGCGCGGCCGTGATACTTTGTTTGGCGAGTTTCATTTCAGGCTGCTTTATTATAATCAGCATGATACACCAAGTGGTTCCATGGTCAATCTAAGGAAATTCAAGTTGGCCTGCATAATACATACATACATAATTACCATCCTGCAAGTTCACACTCTCCTTTGTTTTCGGTGGTAAATTAGATTATATTGCTTTCGAACGCGAATCATGATACATATAAAATAAATCTCCAACGGTGACGGTGCTTGCAGCTTCCCGCCCCGCGAACGACTTTCCAGCAGTTGGGCCGCCCTCGTCGTGCGGCTGCGGACTCGACATCGACCCGCACGGTCACTTTTGACACCCTACAGTATTATGTGGCGACGAGCACGGTCGCGATCTCGGTTTTTATGTTTTTGCACAAAGAGAACGCCTTGCCATTGGCCCCTCAGGCTTTCACCAGGTTGAATGAATAAACCGCCAGGCGCAAAGTGAATTATTGGTTTATGGAATTCCTGACCAATTTCAAGGGCTCAGCAGTTATATATCACCCTATAGGACTTGGCTATTGCCAACACCTCCTCCGTGCGGCAGTCCGAGTTGCGCGATACGGTCGGAGCCTTCAAGTTGTTTATTTGCGGAGTGAAAGGCGAACAAGCGCACCGCGGCCGATGGGGCTGGACTCTTTTCCAATGCAACCCAATTCGCAAAATGAACACGAACGTGCGGGTTGGACTTTTGTTTTTGATTTCGAAGTTGAAGCTTGAAAGTTGACCACGAAGATTCGAACCGAACGACTCGGAGGCCCAACGACATGCCGCCTGTCACTTTCACTTGTATTCGCAGTTGTATTCATAGTTGCATTCATATTCATATTCGTATTCGTACTATGAATTCGACTCAAGGTGAGTCAACCGATAAATGTATAGCGAGTTGATCAGTCAACGCGAGCCAAGTGCGGCAGGTGGAAGGACGGTTGAAGGCTTTAAATTCCAGAGAGAGAGGTGTGCGTGCCAGTGGGTGGGTTTTTTGCTGTTTTTGAGAGTCCGAGTCCCAAGCCCGAATCGCGTTTCTCGTCATGTACAAGGTATCCACCCAGCGCGCGTGCGTCCGGCGGGCGTCGTGTCCCCGACCCCTCGTCCGACTGCTGACTGCAACCCCGGCCGGTCTGTCGCGCGCACTGACTAGCGGTAGCAGTAGTAGCAGTAGTAGTAGTACCGGGAGGTCGGGTCTTTTTTTCATTTTTTTTTTTTTTTTTTTTTGAAGGTGGGTGGGGTCAACCTTGCTTGTTTTCTTGCTTTCTTGCTGCTTCCTTGCTTGCTTCCTTCCTTCGGCAGTGTCGGCGTCGGGCGTTGGGCGTTGGGCGTTGGCCGGACTGTGCAACACTGCACTGTAGGTACTGGCACAGGTCTTGCATCCTGCGTCTTGCGTCTTGCGTCTTGCAGCGGTGGATAGACGGGCACAATCGGACACACACGCACGCCTACTTGA